CAGACCAGTGAGGGTCCATCTAGTCCAGCATCCTGTCTCACACAGGGGCCACCCAGTTCCTCTGGAGGGCCAACAACAGGGCAGAGAGGCCAAGGCCTCCCCCTGTTAAGAACATAAGAAGAGCCCTGTTGGATGAGTCCAGTGGTCCATACCGTCCAGCCTCCTGTCTCACACAGGGGCCAACCAGTTCCTCTGGAGGGCCAACAACAGGGCATTGAGGCCGAGGCCTCCCCCTGATGTTGCCTCCTGGCTCTGGGATTTAGAGGATTAGTGTCTCTGAATGTGGAGGTTCCCCTCAGTCTCCATGGCCAGTAGCCATTGATAGACTTATCTCTCACCAGCAGTCCTCGAAAGAGCCCCACCTAACTCACAGGGTGTCTGTTCTGGGGAGGGGAAGGGAAAGGAGATTGTAAGCCGCTTTCAGACTCCTTTGGGTAGTGAAGGGCGGGGTATAAGTCCAATTTCTTCTTCTTCTTTTCTTTTAAAGCTGTTTATTCCTGTGGCCATCACTACATCCTCTGGCAGCAAATCCCACATTTCAATCACTCTGTGTAAAGTCGTGTTTCGTTGTTATCCCCCTCATTTCCCAAGGAACGGAAAGTGGGACATCGGTCGTCCTTGGTTAGTGTCGCCCTGACAGCACAACACTCCTGTCTCTTGAAACCTCAAGTGTTCGGTCACTGATGAAATCAATCTTTATGGAAGATGGGTTTTAATCAAGGGGGGATAAGAACCAGCCGACGAAAGACCTTCTGAGAGACAAGGGGCTGAGCAGACAGGGTCGGCAAGGCCTTTGGAGCGGTTTGCGGTGGGAAACCAGTTTTACCAAGGGCACCATGTTCCGTAGATAAGAAGACTGGCTTGCTTTCCAGAAGACAATGTAATGGCACTTCTTGGAATTTCCATCTATGGCAGTGATGGTGAACCTTTTAGAGAACGAGTGCCCAAACTGCAACCCAAAATCCACTTATTTATTGCAAAGTGCCAACACGGCAATTTAACCTGAATACTGAGGTTTTACTTTAGAAAAAACAACTCATACATTAACTTAAGATGATCCAAACAAAGTAAGTAAAGTAATCCCAAATGCTTTCATTTACTTAAAATTATTTGGCAGAGAATTCGACACTTTAATGATGGTCTGGGCCTGGCTGGGGCGATGGCCCGCGTGCCCACAGAGAGGGCTCTGAGTGCCACCTCTGGCACCTGTGCCATAGGTTCGCCACCACTGATCTATGGTCAGGGGCATTGTTAGCGTGAGCTAGCTCACAGTTCTTTAGCCACCGGCTCACACATTTTTGTCTTAGCTCAGGAAGGATGGCTCCAGAGCAAACTGATATATGCAGCAGCCAAATCGCTCGCTCACAACTTTAATGCCACCAGCTCACAAAGCTGAGTTTTTGCTCACAAGGCTCCACAGCTTAGAAGGCGCACTGGTCAAGGGCCCTGTAAGTGGACCTCCTTTAAGCTGTGAGCAGTGTCTTCAGATAAGACCTTGAAAAAGCGTAGATTCTGCTGGGTAGCTGAGTTGGTTTGAAGCAGCAGAACACAGTTGCCATCAATCCGGAATATCGGACTGCCCACTCTGAGCCTCACCGGCAAACATCTGGACTGTGGGACTCATCTTAAAACCTGAAGACAGAAGGAATGCAGATACAAGTCTTCTTGGTGCTGGGGGGGGGGTCAACAGTGGGAGGGCTTCTAATGTCCTGGCCCCACTGCTGGACCTCCTGATGGCCCCTGGTGTTTTTGGCCACTGTGTGACACAGAGCGTTGGACTGGATGGGCCTTTGGCCTGATCCAACATTGGCGTCTCTTATGTTCTTATCTTAAGGTTACTCTGATGTAGCGAGCATTGTGAGGTAGGTGGGCTGAGAGAGCTCTAACAGAAACGGCTCTTTTTCAAGAACAGCTCTTATCAGAACTAGGGCTTGCCTAAGGTCATCCAGCCAGGTGCAAGGGGAGGAGTGGGGAATCAAACCGGGTTCTACCAGATTAGAGTCCGCGCACTTAACCACTACACCAAACAGTTGGAGGGCTTCTAGTGTCCTGGCCCCACTGCTGGACCTCCTGATGGCCCCTGGTATTTCTGGCCACTGTGTGACACAGAGGTGTTGGACTGGATGGGCCATTGGCCTGATCCAACATAGCTTCTCTTATGTTGTTATGCATAGGAACTCTCAGTCTGGGGCAAGTGATGCTCTGTCTTCTTGGTGCTTGGGTGGAGGAAACAGTGGGAGAGCTCCTAGTGTCCTGGCCCCACTCCTGATGGCCCCTGGTATTTTTGGCCACTGTGTGACACAGAGTGTTGGACTGAATGGGTCATTGGCCTGATTCAACATAGCTTCTCTTATGTTGTTATGCATAGGAACTCTCAGTCTGGGGCAAGTGATGCTCTGTCTTGATGCTTGGGGGGGTCAACAGTGGGAGGGCTTCTGGTGTCCTGGCCCCACTGCTGGACCTCCTGATGGCCGCTGGTATTTTTGGCCACTGAGTGACACAGAGTGTTGGACTGGATGAGCCATTGGCCTGATCCAACATTGGCTTCTCTTATGTTCTTCTGTTCTTCTGAGTTCTCCAGGTGTCACCTGGAGGGTGGCAGCCCAACCCACCACACCACGCCGGCTCCACCACCACTAATAATTCTCACCCGTGGGGATGTGGCAGATCTAAATCCTGAATCCATGAAAGAATAAACACTTTTCTGGACCCTCCCTCAAGCCATATAGCCAAGAACAGCCCTTAAACGGTTATTGTGAAGAAAGAAGTTTGTATTCCTTGAAAAGGGTTGTGCGGGAGAAGACAAAAATGAGTGTGTCATATCAGACCAGTTGGGGGGGGGGGAATACAAAAATCCAATTCTGAAGAAGGGAAGATAAGGGGAGAGCGGTAGAGGAGCCATCAGCTTAGCAAACACTAAATAATGAACAAGGCAGAGACTGCCGGGTGTGATAAAACACTCCATTAGCCGGGCTGCTTTTAAATGAGTGATAATTGTGGCAGACACACAGAAAAAAGCTTATTGAATTTTTATCTGTACGGGTGGGGTGGGGAAATGAGGCTTTTGACGGGCGAACCGTAAATCCCGGTCAAGATATTGTTCAAATACTTCAAAAAAAGTCTTAATCCCAAATCTCGGCAAAGTCAGAGAAGCCTGAAAAACTTAGAGGGTGCGATTCTCCCTGTGCAGGGGACACTAGAAATTAGGACGACGCCACAGTGGCCAACCAGTTCCCCCGCAGGGCCAACAACAGGGCAGAGAGGCCGAGGCCTTCATAAGAACATCAGAAGAGCCCTGCTGGATCAGACCAGTGAGGGTCCATCTAGTCCAGCATCCTGTCTCTCACAGTGGCCAACCAGTTCCCCCGCAGGGCCAACAACAGGGCACAGAGGCCAAGGCCTTCATAAGAACATCAGAAGAGTCCTGCTGGATTGAGGGTCCATTTTGTCCAGCATCCTGTCTCACACAGTGGCCAACCAGTTCCTCTGGAGGGCCAACAACAGGGCATAGAGGCCGAGGCCTTCCCCTGATGTTGCTTCCTGGCTCTGGGATTCAGAGGATTAGTGCCTCTGAATGTGGAGGTTTCCTTTAGTCACCACGGCTAGGAGCCACTGAAAGACCTCTCTATTAGTCTGTCTAACCACCTTCTGAAGCCAGCAGTGCTTGACTTCAGCTAAGCCGCTCCTGAATGATTCTCACCTATCTGCTCTCCAGAGACGCTTTCTCTGCCCAGCAGAACCTGCCCCCACCCCCTCTGACTCCCCCGGTCTACACGGTGGGGGATGCGACACTTTCTATTTCCCATTCAATGACTAGGACGCTCATAACTTGAAGCCGACTCTAACCATTTGTGCTGGTTAAAGGGTCACACAGACTGATCCGGTAGGGCAGGTGCCCACGGGTACCATGGTACCTGTCAAAACCTTTCCCGGCGACTGCCAAGGGTTTTTAGAAAGTGGGCGGGGCCAGGTGGGGCTTTTGCCCAGCAAGTCTTCTGATTGGTCACTGGAGAACTGATTGGCTCTGCAGCGGGCCCATGGCTACAATTGTGATGAATGTGTTTTTATGTATTATGAAGTTTTATCTTGTTGGGAGCTGCCCTGAGCCAGCCTAGGCTGGAATGGGCAGGATAAAAATCAATATAATAACAACAACAACAACACAGTAGGGCCTGCCCCCCTGACTTACTGCCAAGGCCCCCCCCACTTCCGATTCAGCAGAGCCCCTCCAACAGTGAGAGGAAGAGAACAGAGCACTTGTGTTTCGTTTTCCATTTGGTTCAGAGGCCTGCGGGCTGACAAAGTGTTCGGGAACGCAGGATGCATTGTTTATTCCGGCTGAAGAGTGTGTGTGTGTACCCCACAAGAAAAAAAAACTGCCTCACAAACCAAACAATTCTGCAGATTTTTAAATATGTTGCTTCTACAGTTTCGCCGGGACTGCAAGACGGAGCTCTTCCACCAGGCCTTTGGCTAAGGAGCTGCCACCACCATCATCACTAAAGAGGTGCCCGACTCCACCATTACAACCTGTGCCAACTGTGTGTGTGTGTGTATATATATATATATATATATATATATATATGATAGATCAAGAACTGACAAATAAAGTAACAGTTGCCGCCATCCCTAATGTATTAGTTACAACCAGCTAGCACTTTATGTCTTGAATTGTTTTTAGATGGTTTTACCTATGTCATAATTGTCCTTATGTTTATCTTTTGTAAGCCGCCCTGAGCCTGCTTCGGTGGGGAGGGCGAGGTATAAATCAAATCAATAAATAACAGCAGCTGCCACATCACAAGGCTTTTCACTGTGGGACTGACGGTTAAGACGTGGCTGCCATTTTGTGGCTGGCTCCACCTCCTGCGGCGGCCATTTTGTGGCAGCTGTCTTGATGCTGAGCTCGCCACGAGTGCCCTAATCCCGCAGGCTCATAAAGGCGGTGGACTCCCGCAGTAAGGTCAACCCTCCCACCTGTTTCTCCTGAGACTACTCACTCTGTGCCGTCGGGAGGCTGGAGAAAGCGGCCTTCATCCGGCTGGAGAGCCACTCCAAGCTTTCGTGCATGTTGGCCAAGGCCTTCAGGTCGCTGACGTTGCGGAGGATCTCGCTATCGGGAATCAGTTTATCCCCCAGGTTCCCGATGAGGACTTCAGACTCCTTGCCAAAGGCAGTCCTGGAAGAGGGAGAATGAAAATAACAAACCGCCACAATAATTATATACCGTAACAATACAGCTAGGAAAGGGCTTCTGTGGTCATTTTTAATCAGTGTGAGAAGTGACACGTGGCCTGAACTTCGCCTACGCTGGTTCCACGCCAGTTCTGTTCAGTCCGTGCTTGTCCCACACTCGTTTCCTCAAAAATCAGATTCATCCGGATGTACTTTTCTCTCTTTCTCACAAGATAGGAACTTGTGGGCGCTCGATGAAATCAATGAGCAGTAGGCTAAGAATGGATAAAAGGAAGTACTTCTTCACCCAAAGAAGAATTGACATGTGGAATTCGCTGCTGCGGGAAGTGGTGGGGGCTACAAGCATAGACAGGATAAACATCTGGAGCAGAGGTTCATCAGTGGCTATTAGCCACAAGGTGTAGATAGGAACTCTCGGTCTGGGGCAAGTGATGCTCTGTATTCTTGGTGCTTGGGGGGGCCACAGTGGGAGGACGTCTGGAGTTCTGGCCCCACTGGCGGACCTCCTGAGGGCACTTGGGTTTTGGCCACTGTGTGACACAGAATGATGGACTGGATGGGCCACGGGCCTGATCCAACATGGCTTCTCTTATGTTCTTATGTCTGGGGCAGTGATGCTCTGTATTCTTGGTGCTTGGGGGGGCCACAGTGGGAGGACGTCTGGAGTTCTGGCCCCACTGGCGGACCTCCTGAGGGCACTTGGGTTTTGGCCACTGTGTGACACAGAATGATGGACTGGATGGGCCACGGGCCTGATCCAACATGGCTTCTCTTATGTTCTTATGTCTGGGGCAGTGATGCTCTGTATTCTTGGTGCTTGGGGGGGCCACAGTGGGAGGACGTCTGGAGTTCTGGCCCCACTGGCGGACCTCCTGAGGGCACTTGGGTTTTGGCCACTGTGTGACACAGAATGATGGACTGGATGGGCCACGGGCCTGATCCAACATGGCTTCTCTTATGTTCTTATGTCTGGGGCAGTGATGCTCTGTATTCTTGGTGCTTGGGGGGGCCACAGTGGGAGGACGTCTGGAGTTCTGGCCCCACTGGCGGACCTCCTGAGGGCACTTGGGTTTTGGCCACTGTGTGACACAGAATGATGGACTGGATGGGCCACGGGCCTGATCCAACATGGCTTCTCTTATGTTCTTATGAACTTTTAAGCATAATTCACGCCCAACTGTCCCCTCCAGCACGTGAAGGAACTCGATCGATTTCTTCAGACTGGCTCCAGACTACATGGGAAGGATGAGAATTCCTTAACATCATTTTCATAATGGATTCCAGTAAGCTGTGGTTAACAGGCCCCTCATTTATCAACAGGGATTTCTAAAACATCTCAGGAGCTCACGAAAAAGCTTTTCCGGCCGTCCCTGGAGGTAGGGGTAGGAAGATGGCTGGGCAAAGGAGGCCGGCCAGATTGATCCAAAGGTCAGGCGGTCAAACACTGACTCATTGGCTAAAGTAACACACATTATTAAGTAGGCTACAATGCCCAAAGGGGACATTTCAGCCATTCAAATCTACTTCCCGGTAACAAGCGACCCCCAAGACAATTTGTCCTATATGTTCAAAGAATCTGTTGGCTCTATAAGCACCACTGGATAAGACCCAATCAGTGTTCCCTCTAAGCTGAGTTAGTGAAAAGTACTGGGTTCGACGCATGGAGGACTCGGACCATGTTCGGACACATTCATTGTACTTTACAACAAGACACAAAACGGCTCTGCAAGGCCAACTATATACACTCCACCCGGCACACCTATGTCCCAGGGCTCTTTTTGTAGAAAAAGCCCAGCAGAAACTCATTAGCATAATAGGCCACACGCAACACCAGAAACTCATTAGCATATTGGGCCACACCCCTGCCAGCACAGCTCATTAGCACATTAGGCCGCACCCCCATGTTGCCAGAAGTGTGGTCATCCAGCCACACCCACCTTTTGCTTGTTATTCTGCTTACCTTGTTTGTTGTCAAAACCCAGGGCCTTTCTTTGTAGCAGGAACTCCTTTGCATGTTAGGCCACACACCCCTAATGTAGCCAATCCTAATGAGTTCCTGCTGTTGGGTGTGGCCTATTATGCTAATGAGTTCCTGCTGGGAGTGGCCAACTTGGGAACCAGCCGAACTCCGTTCCTGTGCGTTCCTGCCCAAAAATAGCCCTGTATGTCCCCATTGGAGGGTTTGAATCTCCTGCCAAGGGTGCTATTGGTGGACTCCCGGTGGACTAGGATCCTAGGTCCCCTTTGTGTTTGGGGACCAAGCTCCTGCTTTTGCCGCGGACCCCTGGTGGCGGTCGGTGTACATAACAGTTTAGTGCGAGCTAGCGCTCCAGAGCAAACTAATTGATGCAGTGGCCGAATCACTCACTCACGACTTTAATGCCAGTAGCTCGTAAAGGAGAAATTTCGCTCAGAAGACTCCGCAGCTTAGAGGGAGCATTGGACCCAATCAAGACAAGGCATCCCACTTTTGGCATTGCACCTAGCCTCATTTCATTTCATTTCATTTCATTTCATTTCATCCATCCATCCATCCATCCATCCATCCATCCATCCATCCATCCATCCATCCATCCTATTAGATTTATACCCTCCCCCAGGGCTCTTTTTGTAGAAAAAGCCCAGCGGGAGCTCATTGGCATAATAGGCCACACCCAGCAGCAGAGATTCATTAGACCCCTGACAGCACAGCTCATTAGCATATTAGGCCACACACCCCATGTTTGCAGAAGTGTGGTCATCCAGCCACACCCACCTTTTGCTTCTTATTCTCTTTACCTTGTTTGTTGTCAAAACCCAGGGCCTTTTTGTGGCAAAACCTCCTTTGCATGTTAGGCCACACACCCCTAACGTAGCCAGTCCTAATGAGCTTCTGTTGTTGGGTGTGGCCTATTATGCTAATGAGTTCCTGCTGGGCGTGGCCAACTTAGGAGCCAACCGGGACTCCGTTCCTGTGCGTTCCTGCCCCAAAATAGCCCTGCCCTCCCCTCTCCACCGAGGGAAACTCAGGGCCTCAGGAAGAACTTACCTGATGAAGTCTTCTTCTTCCTCCCGCTTTGGTCTCAGCTGCTTGGGCTGGGCCATGTTGATCCAGTTGGGAAGGGACTTCAAGAGGCGGCTGATGTCGTCGTCTTTGGCCCACGACGTGCTGATCGCCGGCTTGTCTTCAGACTGAGCGATGCTCCTAAAGACAATCGGCAACGGGGACGTTAGGAAGAGGCAGACTGGATTGGCCGGGGACAGACTTCCTGGTCCCATAATGCTGCTGCTCCCATTACAGATACAATGACTACCCACGCAGGGTTAAGCATCCCTGCTATGAGCCCCTGGTCCTCCTCAAACCCGATGGTTGGGACTTTTAGAAGCAGAGTTCTGCTGAGAATCAGTCATGGCGGAAAAGAATTCTTTGGAACCTCAAAACTTGTAAAGTGGTATTGTAGTATTTCCCTCCCTTTCTCTCGATACAAGAACTCGTGGGCACTCAATGAAACTAATGAACAGTAGGCTTGGAATAGGTAAAAGGAAGTCCTTCCTCACCCAAAGAGTGATTAACACTTGGAATTCACTGCCACAGGAAGTGGTGGCGGCTACAAGCATGGACGGCTTCAAAAGGGAATTGGATCAGCATATGGAGCAGAGGTCCATCTGTGGCTATTAGCCACAAGGTATAGATAGGGGCTCTGGGGCAAGTGATGCTCTGTCATCTTGGTGCTTGAGGGGGGGGGGTCAACAGTGGGAGGGCTTCTAATGTCCTGGCCTCACTGGTGGACCTCCTGATGGCACTGGTATTTCTGGCCACTGTGTGACACAGAGTGTTGGACTGGAGGGGCCGTTGGCCTGATTCAACATGGGCTTCTCTTATCTTCTTATGAGACTGGTTGAACATATGGAGCAGAGGTCCATCAGTGGCTATTAGTCACAATGTGTAGATAAAACACTGTCTGGGGCTGTGATGCTTTGTATTCTGGGTGCTTGAGGGGCAACAGTGGGAGGGCTTCTGGAGTTCTGGCTCCGCTGGTGGACCTCCTGATGGCCCCTGGGTTTTGGCTACTGTGTGACACAGAGTGTTGGACTGGATGGGCCATTGGCCTGATCCTGCATGGCTTCTCTTTATGTTCTTCTAGAAAAGAGCAAGAATCCACTAGCACCTTAAAGACTAACAAAATTTGCAGCAGGGTATGACTGTTCCCTGGGAGGCCAGATACTGAAGTTGAAGCTCAACTACTTTGGCCACCCAATGAGAAGGGGGCACTCACTGGAGAAGAAGACCCTGATGCTGGGAAAGACTGAAGGTCAAGAAGACGGGACGGCAAAGGATGAGATGGCAAGACAGTGTTATTGAGGCAACGAACATGAAATTAAGCAAACTCCGGAGCACGACGGAGGACAGGAGGGCCTGGCGTGATGTGGCCCAAGGGGTCGCGAAGAGCCGGAGTCGACTGTGCGACTGAACAACAAATGAGCTTACTTCTTCAGATACTTCATGAAAGCTCACACCCTGCCACAAATTTGTTAGTCTTTAAGGTGCTACTGGACGCTTGCTCTTTTCCACCGCTACAGACAGACTAACACAGCAACCCATCTTGATCTATCTTATGTTCTTATTAATTGGCTGGCTGGGTCAGAGATTCCTTTTACCCGTTTTTGCAGCCGTGTTGATTTTCATCTTCCAAAGATGCAAAAAGAGAAGAGTCTGATTTTCAAATGCCGCAGGATCCCGGAGCCGAAACCTCCATTTCAGCCTTTGCCACTCTCTGGAACAGTGTGCGTTTCCATTTTCTAAACTATCAACCCTTCAGCTGTTCCGGGGAGGGGGCAGA